ATTAAGCGAGCGGTATACAATAAGGAAGCGATTCTTCGTGACGCGATCCATCCACGTCAGCCAAATTGTCCCTCGCGAAGGGGATTTAACGGACCGGTGTGTGACTGGCGTGTGTTAATCCCGCGGGTACCATAAATTTGGTTAAACTTTCAGCATGACGAGGGGTCCCGGGCAATCCCATTTAGGAGAAATTCGTTGAAACTAATGAGATTTGCAAAGGAATATTTTTAATCGCGCCGCTTTATGCGTACGAGGCTGTATTTTAATATTAATCGCAGCAACGCCTTTTATACCTCGCTTTACGTCTGAAAGGAAACGTGACGTTTTCATACATACGTATCGCGCCTTTGTGTAATAAATAACCCGCGACTTTTTGCGATATAATAAGTACGTAAGCGTTATTAATCTGTTTACATTATACTCTTTTTCGACTTGTAACGAAGAGCACTGCGTCACGATTGCGGTGGCGTTAAACTTCAGCCTACGTTTTCCCACTGGGCTGCTTGCGAGGGCCAATCAGGATGCCGAGTACTAGATCACGTGACTAAATCCTGATTGGCTCTCGTAAGCAGTCCAGTGGGAAAAATGGTGTCGCGCGCCGCTTTCCTATCCATCTATTTTCTTCAATCTGAGCATCTTTTCCAACCCGTGGCAGCACGTGACGAGAAATAGACGTGTGACATTCCGCAGATAGGGAATGCTAATAATACTCGTTGTACGCTATTTTCATTACGGAGTGTTAAAAATAGCCTGTCGCTTCGCATTGTTGCTCTCACGAGCGGCCCTCTTCCTTTATCTAATCTTGCCGGCTTGTTACGCGGCAGGCGTAATCGATTAGTCCGGTGCCGTGCATCATCACGTTTTACAAAAAGGTCAGCTCGCTGACGCAAGCCGCGTATCGGAGCTAAATAACGGCTTAGACCGCCGGACAGACAAGCGAGCGGGCGACTACAAGCGCAATTAAGAGATCGCGCACCGATAAAGGCCAATTAATATTAACGTTCTGCCGATCAGCGAACTTGGCTCGATGTTTTAACGATTATGCATCCATTTCCCAAGTAGTTGGAGCTCTCACCGGCCACCCAGGCTCGTCGTCGTCGCGGTCGGGCTCGTCGCGGATTCGATTCGATTTAGATATTAAACAGACGGGGTCTATTTGGACTGCTAGGCTACGGAAAGCGCGTTACAGAATGTCGACACAGACGGCGAGAGCGGGAACGCGGAGAGAAGCCCGTGAAACTTGAAGCGGTGCCGCGGCCTCTCGTACGACGGGCGTGCCGGAGAACGCTATTATGTCGTCCTTTGAAGTCGGCGTACGCTTACGTATACGCGCGTGACTCGTCTTTGATCTCTGACCGAGTGAGTAATTAGATGCATCGGGCATGCACGAAATTGCGCACGGGCGCACTTGGTAAAAGCTATGCGAAAAGACTCCGCCCCGCCGCGTGCGTGTTGCAGTCACGCATCTCTCCCCCGGTTTCCTAGCGCGAGGAGCCCGAGCCCTTATCAGATCCGACGCGATTTATCGCCACGACCCTGCCGCTTTGCGGTAACTCGCTCTTTTTCGCCGTAATCTCTCCGGCGGGCATCTCCCGCGGATCTGGAATTAGCGCCACGGCCTCTTCGGAGCAGCACGTGCTCTACGAGCGCGCGAGACATTGAATGCCGACGTTTAAATCCGCCCCGTCGTAGGCGGAATTAAGTGAATCGTAATAAGGCGTGGCGATCGGCGCAATTAGTTTTTACGGCCTTCATTAGCGATGCGTAAGTTTTAATTCTTATTCACAGAGAAGTATTCCGGGAGCAGAATATTCAGTGCGTCCTTAATCTGTAATGGTTATTATAAAGTCCAAGTCGGCCAAGTGCGTTAATCTCATTCTTCGGCCTCGTTCGTGTTTCGTCTTTTTAATAAGGCTCGTTCTCTCGCTTCATTTCGGTTTTGTATCGCCTGATCTAAATGACTCGAAGATATACAGGTTCAGCAAATATGGCGAACGCTGAAAGGCAGAAGAATACTTTTATTTCATACATTTCTCTTCACTTGGTCAACGCCGGCCTACTCGTAATCACGATTGAATATCGCGCCTGAATCGCCTAAAAATTTTTTTTCTCGTATGCACGCGCCAGTGATAATAATTAAATGCGGCAGTTTCGCTCGCACGTTGTCATGGAACAAAATTATATATGACGAATTGCGTCCCTGCCCGCACACGTGGTGCGCGATTGCGGCGGCGAAGGGGGCGAGAAAGGGGGAGGGGAGGGGGGGGGGGCTCGCGTAACGCAATTATCCGTATTAACATAGCCGGCCCGGTGGTCCGCATCCGCGGTAGCGTGGCGGGACGTACGCGGGATCACTTTAAGGTAGTATGCGGTACCTCTTGGAGGTAGTACAAGGTAAACGCGGCACGGCACGGCCCGCGCGCCGTCCCCGCAACGATGCAATTTCGTCCTGGAGCGTATTATCCCCGCCAGCGCGTGACGGAAAATTGATAAAGCGGAGAGTGAGCGCGCGCTACCTGCGCCCGTGAGCCAGCGGGTCTCGGGGATCGTGGAAGTCGCTTCTGAAAGATTGTACGCGCCCGGTGCTCGTCGCAAATGATGCGCGTCGAGCAATCGATGTCCCCCAACACCCCGGTCGTTCCGCGACGCAGGGTGACGCGGACCGAGGGGGATTGTTTTAGAGAAAATTATTAATAACGTCGGTGTTTTCCTGACCATACCTGGCATCTTTAATAATATAGAAAATTTATTGCGAAAAGCATTACCTCAACCAGGGTTTGTACCTGGACCTCCCCACGCTCTAGGCGGGCGTCTCACCAATAGGATGTTGTCCACGCGTACATTTTCGACTTTTGCGAACCGCGAAAATTATTAAGGCTGGTCTACAATACATGGAGTAAGCTGGAGTAAGGAGTAGGAGTAAGGAAATAAATCCATTTTATTTCTTACTCCTACTTCAGCTCTTAGGTTTACTCCCGGTGAATCAAAATGCCATCAATCAGTGTTACAATTATTTTAAAAATCATGCCCGTATTTCAGCTTCCTTACACCAAAAGCTAGAAGTTAGGGATCTCCCTTACTTCTTACTCCACGCTTACTCCACGTATTGTAGACCACGCATTAATGTCTCGAATGCCGCAACGCGCTGATATCCGTCTACCTGGAATTTTTGGAGCGTTAAACTTGGAGCCTTTGTTGCAAGACGAAGCGCCAATTCTACTTTGCTAACGGAAAAGTTGATTAGAAGTGAGACTTATCGGAATGATTTAACGAGAGTTTGCCGATAGGGTTGGAATGAAGTTTCCCGTGAAATCTATTGCATTTCACGTTGCTCGCACACCTCTGTCTGGAAAAAGCCGATTGCAAAATCGTTTTCGTAAGGATAAATACGTAGGGCGTGGCTAGCAGGAACGAAAACAACGTGAGCGGAGAGCTGAAGACGTGGGGGAGGGCAAGGAAGACACGGAGACGCTAAGAAAACAAGGAAGCAAACTGTTGGCAAGAGATAGAATCCTTTGGGATCGTTAAGCAAAGGAAGAACGCCCGGTATGTTCTTCGCGGCTCTTCCTTCTCTCAGCATCCTCCATATTTTTGCTTTGCCCTTTGCCTCTCTTCTCTCCGGCATGAAGATCGAAGCCTGCTTTACGAGGCAGTCTTGTAAGTCGATCGTTATGCCTCGATAGTGCGCGTACTCGGCTGTGTGTGTTTGCGCGTTCGCGCGCGCGTGTGTGAGAGGCGTGTATAGAATATTATGGCGTGACATCGCGGGACGTAAAATCGCCTCTTCCCCACCCCCGTCTCGCATGGCGTCAAAAAAAATATATATAGGTATATAAAGGCGAATCGCGGTAAATCTCTACGAGCTGCCAGTTGTCGTCGCGCAGGGTGGTCTCCGTTTCGAGGATTCCCTCTCTGCACGTGCCTGACAATGTCGAGAACTTTTTAAAAAGCATACGTCTTCTGTTATCCCGCTTTCACGCGACGCATTCGTTAGCTCTGCTATTGTAGTCGGAATAATCGCGAGAAGAGTAATATATCCGCTCGCTCGGACAATTTTCACTTTGGGACGATTTAAAAGCTTTAATTGGTTTCAATTTTACTTTAATTTCGCCAGTAGATAATCAACAAGTGTAGATAATTTTCGACACAACTGGCCCGAATTTCTTACCGTTGTCCCCTACGTTGCTCTGAAACATGGCCTGTAGTTACGGAGCCCGACGATAGAATCCGCAATTTTATTATCGGCATTCATGTATAATTCAATAAATTCAGGCGAGCTGTGTCGAAAATTGTCCACTTATTAATTTTACTTATTACACGTACACGTGAGATTGCCGCGGGATACAAGTCTGAAAGCCATTAGAGAAGTCGATGAGAAGAATCTTCTAATGAAGGTGTTTGCAAATAATTAAATAACGACCTTGCAAGCGCCCACGGTGAGCGATCGTTGCCATCACGCGATTCCTCGAAGCGTTCAATTATTAACAATTCGTGCCGTCGATTCGAAATATCGTGAACGACGCTGAATATTGCCGATGCCCGGGGGAACTTCTAAGAAAAATTCCGGCGGCGCCCGTGTCTAGGTCGTGTTGGCCTAGGTTGAATTATGACTTGCTACCGATAAACGTATGAGAGGAAAAAGAAAGCGCCGCTCTCGACACGCTCGATTCGGTAATTATGACACCTCACGCCGACTTTTCGCACCTGCCGCGTACCGGTTTCTCACCTCCCAGGTTGAGGATCGAAAGTCCATAGCTGGCTCTATTATAGTCGCCCGTGATTCCTGTCGCTACTGATCTCTTGATTTTTTACCTGGCAGAGTAAATATTTTACCCATAAGAGAGAATGAGGGAAACGGAATATCTGGATTGACGATTTTGACGTCGACAAACTCGGTGCAATTTGTACACCGAGTGTAAAGGTGCTTTTAATTTAGTCTTCGCGATACTTTTTATCTCCGGGCTCACTTGGATTAACCCGTGTCTCGTTATGTGTTGCAGATTTAGAGGAGACCAGGATGTTTCGACAAGAGGGGGTCACGACTTATTCTCAGCTGCTTTTCGACGTGGCGCGACAGCAAGTCGTTGTCGGAGCACGGTACGTATTTTCGCGCCGCAAGCTTGTCTTCAATTACCCGGTTAATCCTCTCGTTTCCGCGACTGTAGCCACATATTAACGTCACTTAATTAAAAACAATTACGGAAACACTTGCGCGAGGTTGCGTTAACTGAACGTAAGCAGTACGAGTGCCCTGATGAAGTTACACAGAATTAAAAATTAAATGGACAATAGAAACCATGTTTGATTTCAATGAAGTAACATCTAGTTTTATTTAATATTCGGAGGTAAATTGGAAAAATAGAAGACTGGGTCCGAATAATTTATAAAATACTCTCGAGATTGCACATTTAAATATTCGACACAACAATAACAAAATACTCGCTGGAAGTCCAGCCTTTCGTGATGAAATCGAAACTGCTGCGAGCACTGCCGGTGCTGGAACAACGACAAAGTCCTCATTTGGATAACGCTATCTGTACCGCTAATAGACTGTTTGATAACGAGTTTTAGAAAGCGTTTAGTTTTGAGACCAGATTTTAATGAGAAAATATCCGCGGCCTACCGTGGCTTTGATAAATTGTTATCTCTCAATCGCGACAAAAAGTTCGATCACGCACGAGTGTTACATTTTGGCGCAATAATCACGATTTTACGCTTCGGTCTGACATATCGGGAACTAATGGGGCCTGTCGATTTCTACGCATGTTGTTCTTCAGACGAGTTTGAAACTTGTAGCAACAACGTCAAATCTCACAGTCGTCTTCTACCGATCAGAACATTCTAATTATCTCGGAGCTTATCTGCTCTACTTAAGATCAGTTTCACCGACATCTCACACAGCTGTCCTTCTGTGAAATCAAAATTAGAAAGAAGTCAACTCTATGGTGGAAAGTCCTCTATTATGTGATAGGTTTCCGATACGAGATAGCAGGTTCGCAACACCCGAATTCAGTCGCAACGGACGAATCAACAGATAATGCCTATTAATTGAGCAGAAACCCCGCCATCTCATATTAGAAGCCTATCTCGTAACAGGTGACTTTTCCTCCGTTAATAAAAAAGCCGAGACGAGAGGTTTATCGGAATCGTAACATTTTGCAACTGCATACGGAAGACCGGGTTCCCTTTAGGGCGGCGATAAAAACTCGACTCGGGGAACTTTCCGATCCGAGACCTTTTCACGCGAGAGGATCAGGAATAGACTTGGAGAGAGCCATGTGGCGAATGTAAATAGAGTCGGAGTGGCGAACGATTTCGCGAATCGCGAAGGGAATTGCGTTACAGGACGGCGACGTCGCTCTTTGACGACGTCACAGGCGGCCGGTACGACCCCCGTGGAAGGCGGTAAACGCGCCGGACCCCTCATTCGCGACGGTTTACAGCGAGATGTCCTGGCGACCCGCCAAATTGGCTGACATACGGCGGTCTCCCCGAGGCGCCGCGCCGATCCATTTTCACGACTCGCGCCAGACGAGCCGGCTCTCGGCTTGTCTCGCGACGTGATTCACGAAGGAGAAAACGGGAGAGAAAAGTAACGGCGCGCCCCTCGTTGACGCTTTTTACGTCGGGCTTCGTAACGAAGTCGGCCGCTCGCCTACGTGCCGCTCATTAACCGGGGACCGCGCCGAAAAAGCCGAATCGCCGACTCACGCGGGCGAGCGTTACAAGCCTTTGGCCTCCTGGCAGCCTCGCGCAATGCAACTTAAATTGCCAGGACTAATTGCTGCGACGAATTTCGCAATCTTCTTACTTAACTGCGTTATCGCGCCTTTTCGCCACTCGGCGACCTTACGTTTATCTCAGGGCCGCGGCGAACTTTCGCGAGTCATCGCGGATTGTCGCGCGAGAATTTCAATAACGACGTGCTCTTCGCCGCGCTTCCAAATACTCGACCCGGGCAGATTCAAGATTTTTACGGCAGCTGCGAGGCAGCTTTTTCCGCTGGGCGCGTTTTACCGGCCCACGTTTCGAGACCTTGACTGACGAAATGTCGGGAATATATCGAGAAATAGATGAATTTCGTGATCTCCGATTTTGCGATGTGTCCGATTGAATTACGCGCCATGTGGAAATATCGGATTTACGGCGGGGCGACGAGGGAATTACGACGACGAAATTGCCTCTGAAAATCATTGCCGGTGCGGTACGTGCTCGCGCTTAAGCAAATCGTGTTTCGCGCGATTCATTTACTCGCGGCGGGATCGAATGGCGCGGGCACGAAACGTACCCGCCGGTCCCGCACGATACAACGCGTTAGTATACGAATCGTTTTTGCGCGAAACCATGGTACAGCTAGTGCGTTCACCCTCGGCCGGTCCTTTGATCCTTTCGGTCCCGATCACGTGGTACTCCGCTGTGTTTTTGGCCCAAACCCAGCGGCGTGTGTGCACATAGGGGACAGTCCTATATTATAAAATAGGTTTCCAATATGAGACAGCGGGTTTTCAACACCCAAATTCGATCACAAATCTTTTTTCGCAACGACTACACGATCTAACAATGAATTAACAGAGATTTCACTCCAAGGGCGATGAATTCATGGTGGAATCAACCGATGATTCAAAATGACGGATTCAAAACTTAAAAGAATGACATCATTAGGACCCACGGAATTTAAATTCCAGTTGAAAATTCTGATAGAATATGAAAAGTAGCGCGCGCGAAATGGCGGATGCAGAATTGAAATTTGATTTGACGTTCGGAAGGACTCGCGTATGATACACGAATTGTGGGCGCTCCTGGGGACGGAGCGCTTCCAGGGAGCCAGCGGGAGCTTTTTTGCGGCACTTTCTCTAGCCGATAAGCAACGCCTCATTACAAGCAGGAAATGACACTCGGTATGTTTGACGAGAGAAAGAAAAAGACAGAAATAGAAAACGCGGAGAGAGAGAAAAAAAGGGGAACGGGCGCGCTGAGTGGCGTGCATATTAAGTAGGCGATTACCTGTGCCCACGAAATCGCGTCCTAACGCGCCTGTCATTAATAATATTTGTGTAAACGGCGTTTTAACGCGCGACGAGTGGCCCGAGATACGGAGGCCGGAAAACGGCCGGCGACGTAATTTCGCCGTCTCGCGAGCGATCGGGAACCAGTTTACGTAGGTGCGCCGGTTGGCGAAATACTTGGTGATCAACGAGCACGATTATCGCGAGAGGCGGAGCCTCGTCTAGGAAGACGCGCTTTATAGAGACCCTGTAATCAGAGACTGGCCATAAGAGTTCGTCAAATTCCTGCGAGTGAGAGAGAAACACAGGCTCGCCTCGCCCTTCTACGATCGTAACGATCGTTAAACAGGAATTTGACGCACTCTTATGGCCAGTCTCTGATTACGGGGTCTCTAGGGAGGACGTCGCTTCCGAGCTCGCGCTTTCGTAGCTTCGAGCTACGTTCGCGGATCCGCGGGCTTAACTCCGCGAGATATCAAGTCGAAAGGACACTTGGACGACTGGTTCCTCGGGACTGGTCGACCTTATCTATACTTCGCGACAATAAGTTAAGTGGTTGATGTAAATAAAAGCTAATAGCTCAAGCGAAGTGAGCACTTCTGGCAGCAAAAACGATGAAACGCAAAACTCGAAGTGCTCCGCCTCTCTTCAGCCTTTAGATATCGAGGACGTTGATTTCTTTCCCCCGTGGATCTCCGCTGGACTTCTTAGTAAGGTGCAACAAGACGATTTAATTGCATGCAAATCGGACGTTACCGAATTTCAATTGGAGACTTAAACGTGAAGAAATATTGAGTATTTCTGGGATCCAAGCGGAGGACGTAAACGCCGGTCTGCCGCGGTCGGATTGCAAGATGACATTCGAGCTGATCGATGGGACTAAAATTAGCGTTATCGCGCGCTATTAACGACGCTCAAGCCGATGCTGGTCACGAAAAATGTGGTCCACCCACGCGAGGTAATACGATCGTGCATACGTGCGCGCACGACACGGGTGTCGCGAGATCAGGCCTGGGTCGAACGTACGATCGATCGGTCGATCGATCCGTGGAAAAGGGAATACGCCCCCGTGCGCTTTCTATTAATAGAACGTCAGTTATTAGCCGCTGCCCACGTAGCCGGCGTTCGTGCGGTTTCCAGCAAAGTGTCGAGCGCAGAAAAATATTAAACTGCTGTCAAATTCGTAGATACGGTATCTCCCACTTTTCCCTTTAATTTTAATAATTAATTAGCCTCGGATTCCTTCAAAACTGAAAGGGAAATTTCACCCGTAAACACGCCGTTTCGACTATTGGAAACTTGGACTTGACAAGAAACGACGAGCTTCGAAATGTTGGATTCCCCCGCTCGAGTCGCGGCGAATGTACTATTCCAGCGCATCACATTCATATTTCTATCAAACTTTCTAAATAACACGCGCGCTTTAATCTCTGCACTCTACTTACTCATTCGACTTCCGCGCGCTTTTCGTCTCGAGGCTGGCGAAGTGATATATGACAGTCTCACGCGGCTCATAACGTAGTGGTTTTCTCGGCAGAAATTTCTCACGGAGAGAAATTATTTCTGCCGCGTAAACTTCTTGTTTTGCCCGGATAGAACGGCGGCGGCTGGATGTATGACGCGACGTGCATAAAAGTTTTTGGGTTTACGCGCGCGCGCGCGAGACCGCTCGCGACAGCCGGCCGCAGGTGTTAGGAATTTCATACGTCGCCGCCAACGTGGTCGTATCGTATTTACGATGTTGCTCCGAGTGTGCGAGGCACGCGAAACCTATCCCGGCTCACCGTATCGCCCGGTTCTCTCTATCCGTCGGTTCTCATATCGACACGCCGCGAGGAGAAACACTCGCTCGAGCGTTTTTCCTCTCGCGATTTAGCGAATTCCTTCGGTCGCGCCAGAATCCGCGCACACGTACAAGAGATACACTTATCTCGAGACTGTCCTCTTGCATTTAACATTATTTTATTTAACGTTCGAACGCGCGCGTTACATGCACGTGAAATATCCGAGAGTTTCTAAACCCTTTCTTTTATCCGCGTATCTTCTCTATTTTACCTAAAGCTAACGGAATGAACGTTTCTGCGTTCTACA